TAGCCTCGGAATTTTTGAAATTTGTGGAATCTCTGGAATCTTTAGAATATTCATAATCCTGGGAATCTTCAAATTCTTCAGAATTGTTGGGATTTTCGGTTTTCAAAATACTCAGAATCTTTAGACTCTTTGGATTCTCTTGGCTCCTATTATCCGAAATTTTGGGAATTTCTAGAATCTCTGAAATCATCGGAATCTTTGAATCCCTAGAAATATTTGTGATCCTTAGAATTTTGGGACCTTCAGTCTTCGAAATATTTGAAAACTTCTGAATCTTTAGAATCTAGAATCTACATTTCTCGAATCGCTAGAATCTCAAAACGCTCTCTAGCCCCGCCCACTCGTCTTCTCTTTTCTTAGAGGGTACTTCATTTGCCAAAATCAGTCTTATCCTAGCAGTTACTAGCCCCGCCCACCCACCCTCTCGTTTCTTAGAAAGTATCTCATTAGATCACATCATTCTTATCTTACTAGGTACTAGCCCCGCCCACCGGTCCTCTCTTCTCTTTATAGAGTATCCCATTTGCCACAATCAGTCTTATCTTGGATCTTCAATCTTTGAAATATTCGAAAACTTCAGAATCTGTAGAACCTCTACGATCTAAGATTTCTCGAATGGCTAGAATCTACGAGTATAGTCTTTAGAATCTAAATTACATAGAATCTAGATTCGTCAGAAAGTCTAAAATTTGTAGAATATCAAGATTATTAAAAATTTTCAGAATATTTAGAGTTTCTGAAGTTTCTAGCGATTCTAACATTTCTCGAATGGCTAGAATCGCAATACGCTCTATAGTCTCTAGAATCTGAATTATTTAGAATCTAGATTCGTTAGAAAGTCTAAAATCTATAGATTATTCAAAATTTTCAGAAGATTTAGAGTTTCTGAAGTTTCTAGCCTCGGAATTTTTGGAATTTGTGGAATTTCTGGAATCTTTAGAATATTCATAACCCTGGGAATCTTCAAATTCTTCAGAATTGTTGTGATTTTCTGTTTTCAAAAGACTCAGAATCTTTAGACTCTTTGGATTCTCTAGGCTCCTATTATCCGAAATCTTGGGAATTTCTAGAATCTCTGAAATCATCGGAATCTTTGAATCCCTAGAAATATTTGTGATCCTTAGAATTTTGGGACTTTCAATCTTCGAAATATTTGAAAACTTCTGAATCTTTAGAATCTAGAATCTACATTTCTCGAATCGCTAGAATCTCAAAACGCTCTCTAGCCCCGCCCACTCGTCTTCTCTTTTCTTAGAGGGTACTTCATTTGCCAAAATCAGTCTTATCCTAGCAGTTACTAGCCCCGCCCACCCACCCTCTCGTTTCCTAGAGTGTATCTCATTAGATCACATCATTCTTATCTTACTAGGTACTAGCCCCGCCCACCGGTCCTCTCTTCTCTTTATAGAGTATCCCATTTGCCAAAATCAGTCTTATCTTGGATCTTCAATCTTTGAAATATTCGAAAACTTCAGAATCTGTAGAATCTCTAAGATCTAAGATTTCTCGAATGGCTAGAATCTACGAGTATAGTCTTTAGAATCTAAATTACATAGAATCTAGATTCGTCAGAAAGTCTAAAATCTGTAGAATATCAAGATTATTAAAAATTTTCAGAATATTTAGAGTTTCTGAAGTTTCTAGCGATTCTAACATTTCTCGAATGGCTAGAATCGCAATACGCTCTATAGTCTCTAGAATCTGAATTATTTAGAATCTAGATTCGTTAGAAAGTCTAAAATCTATAGATTATTCAAAATTTTCAGAAGATTTAGAGTTTCTGAAGTTTCTAGCCTCGGAATTTTTGGAATTTGTGGAATTTCTGGAATCTTTAGAATATTCATAACCCTGGGAATCTTCAAATTCTTCAGAATTGTTGTGATTTTCTGTTTTCAAAAGACTCAGAATCTTTAGACTCTTTGGATTCTCTAGGCTCCTATTATCCGAAATCTTGGGAATTTCTAGAATCTCTGAAATCATCGGAATCTTTGAATCCCTAGAAATATTTGTGATCCTTAGAATTTTGGGACTTTCAATCTTCGAAATATTTGAAAACTTCTGAATCTTTAGAATCTAGAATCTACATTTCTCGAATCGCTAGAATCTCAAAACGCTCTCTAGCCCCGCCCACTCGTCTTCTCTTTTCTTAGAGGGTACTTCATTTGCCAAAATCAGTCTTATCCTAGCAGTTACTAGCCCCGCCCACCCACCCTCTCGTTTCCTAGAGTGTATCTCATTAGATCACATCATTCTTATCTTACTAGGTACTAGCCCCGCCCACCGGTCCTCTCTTCTCTTTATAGAGTATCCCATTTGCCAAAATCAGTCTTATCTTGGATCTTCAATCTTTGAAATATTCGAAAACTTCAGAATCTGTAGAATCTCTAAGATCTAAGATTTCTCGAATGGCTAGAATCTACGAGTATAGTCTTTAGAATCTAAATTACATAGAATCTAGATTCGTCAGAAAGTCTAAAATCTGTAGAATATCAAGATTATTAAAAATTTTCAGAATATTTAGAGTTTCTGAAGTTTCTAGCGATTCTAACATTTCTCGAATGGCTAGAATCGCAATACGCTCTATAGTCTCTAGAATCTGAATTATTTAGAATCTAGATTCGTTAGAAAGTCTAAAATCTATAGATTATTCAAAATTTTCAGAAGATTTAGAGTTTCTGAAGTTTCTAGCCTCGGAATTTTTGGAATTTGTGGAATTTCTGGAATCTTTAGAATATTCATAACCCTGGGAATCTTCAAATTCTTCAGAATTGTTGTGATTTTCTGTTTTCAAAAGACTCAGAATCTTTAGACTCTTTGGATTCTCTAGGCTCCTATTATCCGAAATCTTGGGAATTTCTAGAATCTCTGAAATCATCGGAATCTTTGAATCCCTAGAAATATTTGTGATCCTTAGAATTTTGGGACTTTCAATCTTCGAAATATTTGAAAACTTCTGAATCTTTAGAATCTAGAATCTACATTTCTCGAATCGCTAGAATCTCAAAACGCTCTCTAGCCCCGCCCACTCGTCTTCTCTTTTCTTAGAGGGTACTTCATTTGCCAAAATCAGTCTTATCCTAGCAGTTACTAGCCCCGCCCACCCACCCTCTCGTTTCCTAGAGTGTATCTCATTAGATCACATCATTCTTATCTTACTAGGTACTAGCCCCGCCCACCGGTCCTCTCTTCTCTTTATAGAGTATCCCATTTGCCAAAATCAGTCTTATCTTGGATCTTCAATCTTTGAAATATTCGAAAACTTCAGAATCTGTAGAATCTCTAAGATCTAAGATTTCTCGAATGGCTAGAATCTACGAGTATAGTCTTTAGAATCTAAATTACATAGAATCTAGATTCGTCAGAAAGTCTAAAATCTGTAGAATATCAAGATTATTAAAAATTTTCAGAATATTTAGAGTTTCTGAAGTTTCTAGCGATTCTAACATTTCTCGAATGGCTAGAATCGCAATACGCTCTATAGTCTCTAGAATCTGAATTATTTAGAATCTAGATTCGTTAGAAAGTCTAAAATCTATAGATTATTCAAAATTTTCAGAAGATTTAGAGTTTCTGAAGTTTCTAGCCTCGGAATTTTTGGAATTTGTGGAATTTCTGGAATCTTTAGAATATTCATAACCCTGGGAATCTTCAAATTCTTCAGAATTGTTGTGATTTTCTGTTTTCAAAAGACTCAGAATCTTTAGACTCTTTGGATTCTCTAGGCTCCTATTATCCGAAATCTTGGGAATTTCTAGAATCTCTGAAATCATCGGAATCTTTGAATCCCTAGAAATATTTGTGATCCTTAGAATTTTGGGACTTTCAATCTTCGAAATATTTGAAAACTTCTGAATCTTTAGAATCTAGAATCTACATTTCTCGAATCGCTAGAATCTCAAAACGCTCTCTAGCCCCGCCCACTCGTCTTCTCTTTTCTTAGAGGGTACTTCATTTGCCAAAATCAGTCTTATCCTAGCAGTCACTAGCCCCGCCCACCCACCCTCTCGTTTCTTAGAAAGTATCTCATTAGATCACATCATTCTTATCTTACTAGGTACTAGCCCCGCCCACCGGTCCTCTCTTCTCTTTATAGAGTATCCCATTTGCCAAAATCAGTCTTATCTTGGATCTTCAATCTTTGAAATATTCGAAAACTTCAGAATCTGTAGAACCTCTACGATCTAAGATTTCTCGAATGGCTAGAATCTACGAGTATAGTCTTTAGAATCTAAATTACATAGAATCTAGATTCGTCAGAAAGTCTAAAATTTGTAGAATATCAAGATTATTAAAAATTTTCAGAATATTTAGAGTTTCTGAAGTTTCTAGCGATTCTAACATTTCTCGAATGGCTAGAATCGCAATACGCTCTATAGTCTCTAGAATCTGAATTATTTAGAATCTAGATTCGTTAGAAAGTCTAAAATCTATAGATTATTCAAAATTTTCAGAAGATTTAGAGTTTCTGAAGTTTCTAGCCTCGGAATTTTTGGAATTTGTGGAATCTCTGGAATCTTTAGAATATTCATAATCCTGGGAATCTTCAAATTCTTCAGAATTGTTGTGATTTTCGGTCTTCAAAATACTCAGAATCTTTAGACTCTTTGAATTCTTTAGGGTCCTATTATCCGAAATCTTGGGAATTTCTAGAATCTCTGAAATCATCGGAATCTTTGAATCCCTAGAAATGTTTGTGATCTTTAGAATTTTGGGACCTTCAATCTTCGAAATATTTGAAAACTTCTGAATTTTTAGAATCTAAAATCTAAACATTCCCAATTATTCAAATGATTTTCGTCGGATGAAATAGGTATGCGAGAATTTAAACCCATCGCTTTGAGAAGTCGCGTTTTCTTGTTGATTTCTCGTTAATTTCTCATTGATTTCTCGTTGATTTCCTCTTGATTTCCTTTTGATTTCCTGAGATTTCCTGTGATTTCCTCTAGCGTGTACAATTGATTTCCTCTGCGGTTTACCCCTCGATTTAATCCTGATTTTAGGACCAGTATTGTCGACTAGTAACCCAGGTAATTTTACACGAAATAAGGGTGTGGGGACAAAAAATCTGCACAAATTTCAAACTAGAATAACTGTATTATAAAAGCAGGTATTAATAACGTGATCAACAACATTTATAAAAACAACTTTAAAGAACACAATCTGCACCATATCTACTTGCTTTACGAATTTTTGTTTTAACACGGCGCATTAAATTTGTAAAAGCCGATATTTTTGTTTGCCGTATTTTCAGCAGTATACGCTTCTTTAATTCTGCATGTGTCGAGGCTTCCCATCCATTTTCGTACCCATTTCTCTTTAGGTTTCTCCAAAAACGTTCAATTGGGCGTAGTTGAAGTACGTTGGGAACATTTTTGTCCTTAGGGATAAAAGGAATGCTTAACTCATTATATGCAGCAAAAACGTTAGCTGCGTAATGAGCTGTTGCCATGTCTGGCCAAAATACAAAATTGCCATCCGAATGCTTTTCTCTTATAAAGCGGACAAGTCGAGACCTAATGCACTGTTTTTCATAAATATCTGCATTAACAGAATTTCCAGATGGGCAAATAAACGCAGTAGAATGTCCACGTGACGAAATGGCCAATCAGACCAACAACTTGGACTGAAATTTTTTATAACGTTTGAATTTCACTTTATCATCTACTTCTTCTCCTTCCTTGCAATAGAAATGTTTATTGTTAGCAGTATCGCTACCATCAAAAGTGAAGTCGGATTCGTCATCGATGATTATTTCAGTTCCATTTGAGGGGGAAAAAGCGGATTCAGAAAGATGCCTTAATTTTCGTTTTTGTTCCAACTTTTGTTTTTCTGAATATTTAGGGGCGAATTTTCGCGTTGCAAGATTGACATTATTCTCCTTTAATATGTTGCTAACATACTTTTTGTCAATTTTAAATTTCGGTCCAATCTTTCTTAGTGAAACACCAAATTTACCGTGACTTTGATTGACTAACGCTTCTCTCTTCTTCTGGGACATTTTTGTTGCTGGTCTTCCGCTTCCTACTTGTCTTTCTACCGAATTCCCATTCTCTACTCTTCTGCAAATGCTATAAGTTGTCCTTTTTGATATCCCCATTTGGAAGAAGTGATTAACGGTGAATGACTTTTTTAAATGCATATGCCTTCTATAAAATTCGGCAATCACAGATCGGCGATCATTTTCGTTTAAGTGTTCCATTATTACAAAAAATATTGAAACTTTCAAGAGGAACTAGGCATAACAATTTTTAACAACTGTAAAAAAATGTTATAACGTCAACCGTCATTTTTCTCAAAGCTAACTCGATTTTCGGTGAATTAAAATTTGTGCAGATTTTTTGTCCCCACACCCTTAGATGAAACACAACATAAAAATACATATTTTTAAGGTCAATTTCTAACGGATCAGTACAGTATCCAGAACGAAGATAGAGGTGCCCCGATAAGGTCATTTTTCCCCGACACGTGGTTATGGGAATTAGTACCAGTTAGGTAAAATGCGAATATTCAAATTATAAAGGTCTGTATTTCCATTTTAGAAATGTGGCAGTTATCCATCGAACGTTACCTCACACTATTACTACTTGGGAAACCAGTGTACTGTGTGTTTCAGCCATTCATGGTCCGGGTATTAGTAAAATTTCCGAAATTACAAGTTTTCAACCCTTTTTTATTAACCTGCTGACACCATACTCTGTAAAACTGGGAGAAATCTTATACTTACACACAATCGTTTTCAACTATCTCACCTACAACGTACCGGTAATTATATTCAATATCGTTTTCATCAGAAGTTGATTATTATGTTCAAGATTCGAATCAGTTTAGCGATATCAGATGGTTTGGATTTACTGGATGCACAAAAGCGGACAAGTTTTTCATATTGTGTTCATAGTAATAATACAGTTACACACGTATTTGAGGTGAAAGCTGTGAAAGCACAAAAAGTCAATGTAACTGTGGTAGGAGAATTAGATCCCTCGTTCCCTGGACATTGCGGACCTGACACCGTCGTCAATAAGAGGTCTTTCAAAATATCAAAAAATATTGTCGTATTTATTTCCTAATTTTTCTAGGGACGTAGTTTTTAAAACTTTTATAGTTGAACCTGAAGGTTATCCAGTACAAATAACAAAATCGGCTTTATTTTGTCGATCTGGTACTTACGCTAGTCTAAAATGTTTAAGTTTAAGTTAATAAATAACTAATTTTAGATGATCACTCGCCAAATAATGTCACTTGGGACGCACTAACACCAAACGATGTAGTACTTGATACATTCAAAACTGAAATTATTCTTCACGCAGATATTTTAGGTCAAAGTATTGAGGTCGCCTGAAATATTAATTCTTCTATAAGTATTTTTAACTTGTTCGGTTTTTCTTTTCAGAATTTCGACGAGTTAATTATAATGCCGACTGGTTGTGGGGAACAAATAATGGCAACTTTGGCCCCAAATCTATACGTATTACGTTATTTAAATGCCACTAGAAGTTTATCGACTTCCGTAACCCGAAGAATCATACGAAATTTAAAAATTGGTTATCAAAGAATTTTGAATTATGTCCACAGTGATGGATCCTTCTCAGCTTTCGGTTACTACGATTCAACAGGATCCATGTTTTTAACAGCGTTTGTAGTTCGAATACTTCAAGACATCAAACAGTACATTTATGTGGATCAAAAAATTATCGATCGAGCGGTAACGTGGATAATAAGTAACCAACTAGAAAATGGGTGCTTTAAAACTATGTCGCATGTTTTTCAAGATATGGTAAGTACTGTGATCTATTTTGTTAAATGTACAAAATATGTGTAATTACAGGGAGGTACTACGTTCGAAAATAGTACCGCAGGTTTAACTGCGTACGTGATGGTTAGTTTATTAAATGCGAATATTCGAATTCCCGACGCAGTCCAAACAAACGCTAAATATTGCATTAGAGGACATTACAATTTAGATACTTACACTCTAGCAATAAGCTCGTATGCTTTATTTAAAATTAACTGGTACAGCGAAGCTAACAGAATGTTGAAAAAGTTAATTCAAATTTCCAATAAAAAGGGTAACATGATGTGGTGGACAAGTAAAGGTAAAAATTAAAGAGATACTTAACATGCAAAACCTACTAAAGTTAAATTTATCACTAGAGTATAATGGTTCGGGAGCCACTGATGTTGAAATTACAAGTTATGTCTTGCTTTCTTTGCTCCACCAAAAGTCGCCCGAAAATTTGGCTAAAGCACATTCTATAGTGCAGTGGTTATCAACACAACGTGGACCTCGAGGAGGGTTTTTGTCCACACAGGTAACACTAAATACGATAGATTTCTCATATTATTATTCAGTGGATTTGTAAGTACTACCATTGTTTAAGTATATTAAATCGAAAAACCTAAAATTTTAAAAACTGAAAAGTTAAAATATCGAAAAGTTGAAAAATTGAGAAATCTAAAATTTAAAAAACGGAAAATGAAAATCCAAAAAGTAGAGTCAAGAAATCGAATAATCCAGAACTCGAAAAGTCGAAATACTAAAAAATCCCAAAACTCAAATATCGAAAAATTGAAAAATAGAAGAAAAATTGAAGAATCGAAAAATTGAAAAATCACAAAATTGAACGAATTATCCAAAAATTAGGAAATTAAAAAATTGAGAAACCGAAAAGTCAAAAAGCAAAATCGAAAAATTGCAAACTTAAAAAATCGAAAAATTGAAAAATCAAAAACCTGAAAAATCGAAAAATTGAAGAAATGAAGAACTGAAAGATGGAAACTTTGGGAAGTGGAGAAACGGGAAAATAAAAAAATAGATCAATTGTGAAATCCGAAAACTGAAAATTCAGAAATGTCAAAATTTTAAAAATTACAAAATATTGAAGAACTGAAAAATTGAAAAATCTAAAACTTAAAACACTGAAAAAATAAAATATCGTAAAATTGAAAAATGGAGAAATCCAATCAAAACATCAAAAAAATAAATTCGAAAATCTAAAATGTAAAAATCGAAAAACTGAAAAATCAAAGAATCGGGAAATCGAAACTCGAAAATTTAAAAAATTGGAAAATTGAAAAATCGGATAATTCAAAAATCGAAACATCGAAAAGTCGAGAAACCAAAAAGTAAAAAATCGAAAAATCGATACGTGGTAAAATTGAAAAATCAAAATCTGAAAAAATTGAAAAATCGAAAATTTATAAATTCGGAAAATTGAAAAATAGAACTGAAAACTCGAGAAATCGAAAAATCTAGACATTTAAAAACTGAAAAATTAAAATATGGAAAAGTTGAAAACTTGAGAAATCGAAGTAAAAAACAGTCGAAAGTTTAAAAACGAAAAACTGAAATTCCAAAAAGTAAAAAATCGAGAAATCTAAAAATTCACAACTCGAAAAACCGAAAAGTTGAAATACTAAAAAATCCCAAAACTGAAATATCGAATAGAAGAAAAATGAATAATCGAATAACTGAAAATCACAAAATTAATCGAAATATCCAAAAATTGGGAAGTTAAAAAATCGAAAAATTGGGAAATTGAAAAGTCAAAAAAGCAAAATCGACAAATTGAAAACTCAAAAAACCTAAAAAATCGAAAAATTGAACTGGAGAACTGAAAAATCGAAACTTTGGGAAGTCGAGAAATGGGAAAATCGGAAAACTGAAAATTCAGAAAAGTCAAAAATCTGAAAAATCGAAAAATTGAACTGGAGAACTGAAAAATCTAAACTTTGAGAAGTCGAGAAAGGGGAAAATCAAAAAATAGATTAATTGAAAAATCGGAAACCTGAAAATTCAGAAACGTCAAAACATGAAAAATGAAAAAATATTGAAGAATTGAAAAATCGAAAAATCTAAAAATTAAAAATTCTAAAGTCTACAATTTAAAAATCGAAAAACTGAAAAATCAACAAATCGAGAAATAAAAAATTGGAAAATTGAAAAATCGGATAATTCAAAAATGGAAAAATTGATAGTTCGAGAGATTGAACAATCAAAACATGGAAACATCCGAATCTCGATAAATCGAGGTCTCAAGAAATTGAAAAATTGAAAATTTAAAAATTCGGAAATTTGAAAAATTAAAATATGTATAGAAGAACTGAAAATTTGAAAAATTGAAAAATCTAGAATTTTAAAAACTGAAAAATTAAAATATCGAAAAATTGAGAAATCGAAATATAAAATACCTAGTCGAAAAATCGAAAATCCAAAAAATAAAAAATCGAAAAATCCAGAAGTAGAAAAATCGAAAAAGTCGAAGAATCAAATTACTCGAAAATCCCAAAATTGAAAGAAATCCAAAAATTGAGAAATTAAAAAATTGGAGAATTGGGAAATCGAAAAGTCAAAAAAGCAAAATCGACAAATTGAAAACTCAAAAAATCTGAAAAATCGAAAAATTGAACTGGAGAACTGAAAAATCTAAACTTTGAGAAGTCGAGAAAGGGGAAAATCAAAAAATAGATTAATTGAAAAATCGGAAACCTGAAAATTCAGAAACGTCAAAACATGAAAAATGAAAAAATATTGAAGAATTGAAAAATCGAAAAATCTATAAATTAAAAATTCTAAAGTCTACAATTTAAAAATCGAAAAACTGAAAAATCAACAAATCGAGAAATAAAAAATTGGAAAATTGAAAAATCGGATAATTCAAAAATGGAAAAATTGATAGTTCGAGAGATTGAACAATCAAAACATGGAAACATCCGAATCTCGATAAATCGAGGTCTCAAGAAATTGAAAAATTGAAAATTTAAAAATTCGGAAATTTGAAACATTAAAATATGTATAGAAGAACTGAAAATTTGAAAAATTGAAAAATCTAGAATTTTAAAACCTGAAAAATTAAAATATCGAAAAATTGAGAAATCGAAATATAAAATACCTAGTCGAAAAATTGAAAATCCAAAAAATAAAAAATCGAAAAATCCAGAAGTAGAAAAATCGAAAAAGTCGAAAAATCAAATTACTCGAAAATCCCAAAATTGAAAGAAATCCAAAAATTGAGAAATTAAAAAATTGGAAAATTGGGAAATCGAAAAGTCAAAAAAGCAAAATCGAAAATTGAAAACTCAAAAAATCTGAAAAATCGAAAAATTGAACTGGAGAACTGAAAAATCGAAGCTCTGGGAAGTCGAGAAACGGGAAAATCGAAAAATAGATTAATTGAAAAATCGGAAACCTGAAAATTCAGAAACGTCAAAACATGAAAAATGAAAAAATATTGAAGAATTGAAAAATCGAAAAATCTAAAAATTAAAAATTCTAAAGTCTACAATTTAAAAATCGAAAAACTGAAAAATCAACAAATCGAGAAATAAAAAATTGGAAAATTGAAAAATCGGATAATTCAAAAATGGAAAAATTGATAGTTCGAGAGATTGAACAATCAAAACATGGAAACATCCGAATCTCGATAAATCGAGGTCTCAAGAAATTGAAAATTTAAAAATTCGGAAATTTGAAAAATTAAAATATGTATAGAAGAACTGAAAATTTGAAAAATTGAAAAATCTAGAATTTTAAAAACTGAAAAATTAAAATATCGAAAAATTGAGAAATCGAAATATAAAATACCTAGTCGAAAAATTGAAAATCCAAAAAATAAAAAATCGAAAAATCCAGAAGTAGAAAAATCGAAAAAGTCGAAGAATCAAATTACTCGAAAATCCCAAAACTGAAAGAAATCCAAAAATTGAGAAATTAAAAAATTGCAAAATTCAGAAATCGAAAAACCCAAAAAGCAAAGTAGAAGAATCGAACGATTGAAGAACTGAGAAATCGAATCTTTGAGAAGTCTAGAAATGGGAAAATCAAAAATAGATTTATTGAAACATCGGAAAACTGGAAATTTAGCAGTGTCAAAATCTGAAAAATTGAAAAATAAAATATTGAAGAACTGAAAAAAAAAACTAAAATTTACAAAATTGAACAATCAAAATATCACAAAACTGAAAAATCGAGAAATCCAAAAATCGAAATTCGAAAATCTAAAATTTAAAAATCGAAAAACTGAAAAATCGGCAATCAAGAAATCGACACTCCAGAATTAAAAGATTGAAAAATAGACAAATCGGAAACCTAAGAATCAAATTACTCGAAAATCCCAAAACTGAAAGAAATCCAAAAATTGAGAAATTAAAAAATTGGAAAATTGAGAAATCGAAAACCAAAAAAGCAAAGTTGAAAAATCGAGGAATTGAAGAACTGAAAAATCGAAACTTTTGAGACATCGGAAAACTGAAAATTTAGCAACGTCAAAATCTGAAAAATTGAAAAATAGAAATACTGAAGAACTGAAAAAAATCTAGAAATCAAAAAATCTAAAATTTATAAGATGGAACAATTAAAATATCACAAAATTGAAAAATCGAGAAATCCAAAAATCAAAAAATCAAAATTCGAAAATCTAAAATTTAAAAATGGAAAAACTGAAAAATCGCCAAATCAAGAAATCGACACCCCAGAATTAAAAAATTGAAAAATAGAAAAATTGAAAAATCTAAAGTTTAAAAAACCAAAAATTGAAAATCCAAGAATAAAGAATCGAAATATTGAAAAATCTCAAAACTAAAAGAAATATCCAAAAATTGAGGAATTAAAAAAATGGAAAATTGAGAAATCGAATAAAGCGAAGTCGAAAAATCGAAGAACTGGAGAACTGAAAAATCGAAACTTTGTGAAGTGGGAAAATCAAAAATAGATTGATTGAGGAATCGGAAAACTGAAAATTTAGCAACGTCAAAATTTGAAAAATTGAAAAATTTAAAACATTGAACAATTAAAATATCGCAAAATTGAAGAATCTAGAAATCCAAACATAAAAAAAGCAAACAAAAATTCGAAAATTTAAAAATCGAAAAATTTAAAAATCGACAAATCCAAAAATCGAAACATCGAAAAATTCAAAAACTGAGACATCGAGAAATCGAAAAATCGAAAATTTAAAAATCGAAAAATTTAAAAATCGACAAATCCAAAAATCGAAACATCGAAAAATTCAAAAACTGAGACATCGAGAAATCGAAAAATCAGAGGATCAAAAAATTGATAAATCGAGAAATTGAACAATCAAAACCACGAAACATCTGAATTCGATAAATCGAGAAATAAAAAAAATTGAAAAATCGAGAATTTAAAAATTCGAAAAATTGAAATATAGAAGACTCGAGATATCGAAAAACCTAGAATTTTAAAAATTTAAATATTAAATCAAAAAGTTGAAAAATTGAGAAATCGAAGAATAAAACAGTCGAAAAATTGAAAAATCTAGAGATTAAGGAAAAATTGAAAATCCAAAACGTAAAAAATCGAGAAATCAAAAAAATCCAGCGTTTCAAAAATCGAAAAGTCGAAAAATCGAAATATTGAAAAATCTCATAACTGAAAGAAATATCCAAAAAACTGAGAAATTTAAAAATTGGAAAATTAGCTTAAAAAATCGAAAAATTGAAGAATTGAAGAAGTGAAAAATTGAAACTTTAGAAAGTCGGGAAATGGAAAAATAAAAAAAAGTTACTTCAGAAATTGGAAAACTGAAAATTTAGGAACGTGAAAATTTGAAAAATTGAAAAATCGGAATATTTAATATCCGCAAAATCGAAGAGGAGAAAAATTAAGAAATCGTATCATTGAAACATCGGAAAATTGTGATATCAAAAAATACAAAACTCGAGAAATCGAAAATTTGAAGAATGGAAAAATTGAAAACGCCCAAAATTGAAATTTTGAAAAATTGAGATATCTAAAGTTGAAAAATCGAGAAAATGAAAAATCGAAAAGTCTCAATAGCGTATTTATAAATCACAAAGTCGAGAAATTGAAAAATCCAGAACTCAAAAAGGCGAAATACAAAAAAATACCAAAATTTAAATATCGAAAAATTGCAAAATAGAAGAAAAATTGAAGAATCGAAAAACTGAAAAATCACAAAATTGAACGAAATATCCAAAAATTAGGAAATTAACAAATTGAGAAACCGAAAAGTCAAAAAGCAAAATCGAAAAATTGCAAACTTAAAAAATCGAAAAATTTAAAAAAAGAAAAATTGGAATATCGAGAATTTAAATTGAAAAATCTGAAGATTAACAAAAAACTGAAAATCCAAAAAGTAAAAAATCGAGAAATCAAAAAAAATCCAGCAATCCAAAAATCGAAAGATCGAAAAATCGAAATATTGAAAAATCTGAGAAATTAAAAAATTAGAAAATTGAGAAATCGAAAAACTAAAAAAGCACAGTCGAAAAATCGTAAGCTTAAAAAATCAAAAAATTGAAGAATTGAAGGAGTGAAAAATTGAAACTTTAGGAAGTCGAGAAATGGAAAAATAAAAAAAAAGTAACTTCAGAAATCGGAAAACTGAAAATTTAGAAACGTTAATTGAAAAATCGAAACATCAAAAATTTGGAAAATCGAAAAAAAAAATGGAAAATCGAAAATTTAAATACATATTCCGAAAAAATTGAAAAATTAAAATATCGAAAAGTTGAAAAACTGAGAAATCGAAAAATCCAGAACTTGAAAAGTCGAAATACAAAAAAATCCCAAAACTCAAATATCGAAAAATTGAAAAATAGAAGAAAAATTGAAGAATCGAAAAACTAGAAAATCACAAAATTGAACGGGATATCGAAAAAATAGGAAATTAAAAAATTGCGAAAACGGAAAGTCAAAAAAGCAAAGTCGAAAAATCGTAAACCTGAAAAATCTAAAACTTGAAGAACCAAAAAACTGAAAGATGGCAATTTTGGGAAGTGGAGAAATGGGAAAATAAAAAAATAGATTAATTGAGAAATCCGAAAACTGAAAATTCAGTAATGTCAAAATCTGAAAAATTTAAAAATATTGAAGAACTGAAAAATTGAAAAATCTAAAATTTAAAAATCGGCAAACTGAGCAATCGGTTAATTAAAAAATCGAAACATCAAAAAATTGGAAAATCGAAAAATTAAAAATTCGGAAAATTGAAAAATATAACTAGAAACTCGAAAAATCTAGAAATTTAAAAATTGAAAAATTAAAATATGGAAAAGTTGAAAATTTGAGAAATTGAAATATAAAATTATCGAAAAATTGAAACATCTAAAGTTTAAAAAACGAAAAACTGAAAATCCAAAAATGAAAAATCGAAAAATCCAGAACTCGAAAAATCGAAAAGTGAAAAGTCGAAAAATTTTAAAAACCGAAAAACCAAGATGGCAAAATTAAAAAATTGAAAAATTGAAATATTGAAGGACTGAAAAATCGAGAAATCGAAAAATCGAAAATTTAAGAGATTGAAAAATTTAAATATGAAAAAATTGTAAAATCGAGAAATCTAAACATGAAAAAATAAAAAAAATAAAAATTGGAAAATCTAAAATTTAAAAACCGGCAAACTGAACAATCGGTTAATTGAAAAATCGAAACATCAAAAAATTGGAAAATCGAAAAATTAAAAAAAATTGGAAACTCGAAAATTTAAATATTCCGAAAATTGAAAAATTGAAATATAGAAGAACTAAAAACACGAGAAATCGAAAAACCTAAAATTTTAGAAATCGAAGCATAAAACAGTTTAAAACTGAAAAATCAAAAAGTAAAAATTGGGAAATCCAAAAATCCAGAACTCGAAAAGTCAAAATACAAAGAAATCCCAAAATTCAAATATCGAAAAATTGAAAAATAGAAGAAAAATTGAAGAATTGAAAAACCGAAGAACTGCAAGATGGAAACTTTGGTAAGTGGAGAAATGGGAAAATAAAAAAAATAGATTAATTGAGAAATCCTAAAACTGAAAATTCAGAAATGTCAAAATTTGAAACATTAAAAAATATTGAAGAACTGAAAAATTGAAAAATCTAAAATTTAAAACACTGAAAAATTAAAATATCGTAAAATTGAAATGTGGAGAAATCCAAACAGCAAAAAAACAAAAATATGAAAATTGGAAACTCTAAAATTTAAAAATCAAAAAATGGAAAAATTAACGAATCGAGAAATCGAAACTCGAAAATTAAAAAAATTGGAAAATCGAAAAATCGGTTAATTCAAAAATCCAAACATCGAAAAGTCGAGAAACCGAAAAGTAAAAAATCGACAAATCGCTGCATCGTAAAATTCGAAAACTGAGACATCGAGAAATCGAAAAATCGAGGAGTCGAAATGTCAAGAAGTCGAAAAATTGAGAAACCGAAAAGCTAAAAATGGAAAAACCGATAAATCGAGAGATTGAACAATCAAAACATCGAAACTTCGGATAAATCGAGATCTCAAAAATTGAAAAATCGAAAATTTAAAAATTCAAAACATTGAAAAATAGAACTGGAAACTCAGAAATCGAAAAATCTAGAAATTTAAAAATTGAAAAATTAAAATATAAAACAATCGAAAAATTGAAAAATCTATAGTTTAAAAAACGAAAAACTGAAAATCCAAAAATAAAAAATCGAAAAATCCAGAAGTCGAAAAATCGAAAAGTCGAAGAATCGAAATATTGAAAAATCTCAAAACTTAAAGAAATAACCAAAAATTGAGGAATTAAAAAATTGGAAAATTGAGAAATCGAAAAATCAATAAAACGAAGTCGAAAAATCGAAGAATTGGAGAATTGGAAAATCGAAACTTTGAAAAGTGGGAAAACCAAAAATAGATTCATTGAGAAATCGGAAAACTGAAAATTTAGCAACGTCAAAATTTGAAAAATTGAAAAATTTAAAACATTGAAATATCGCAAAATTGAAGAATCTAGAAATCCAAACAAAAAAGCAAAAATAAAAATGTGAAAATTTAAAAGTCAAAAAACAGAAAAATCAACAAATCGAAAATTCGAAACTCCAGAATTTAAACAATCGAAAAATTGAAAAATCGAAACATCGAAAAATTCAAAAACTAAGACATCGATAAATCGAAAAATCAAAGGATCGAAAAACTGAAAAATTGAAATATAGAATAACCGAAAACTCGAGAAATCGAAAAACATAGAATTTTAAAAATAGATATATTAAAACATCGAAAAATTGAAAAATTGGGAAATCGAAGAATAAAACAGTCGAAAAATTGAAAAATCTAAAGATTAACGAAAAATTTTAAATCCAAATAGTAAAAAATCGAGAAATCAAAAGAAATCCAGCAATCCAAAAATCGAAAAGTCGAAAAAACTAAGAAATTAAAAAATTGGAAAATTGAGAAAAAAAGCAAAGCCGAAAAATCGTAAAATTAAAGAATTGAAGTAGTGGAAAATTGAAACTTTAGGAAGTCGAGAAATTCAAAAATAAAAAAAAGTTAGTTCAGAAATCGGAAAATTGAAAATTTAGAAACGTGAAAATTTGAAAAATTGAAAAATCGAAATATACTTAAACAACGGTACTACATAACCAAATCTACACAGCCAAGGGAAAAGATTTCTAAACTAGTTCCTCTCACAACCAACATTTTAATGATAACAGCAATACCATTTTTGCCTCACATTTAGTCCTTCTTTGAATCCCTCTCCCATTTTATATTTCCAGTTACGAATTCAAGAGAATGCAAAATTTACTGTATGTTTTGACTTTTGGTTCAACATTCATCACAGATGCTATATTATAAAATAAAAAATTGTTCTAGGATACAGTCGTAGCCCTTGAAGCCCTGACTAAATATTCCTCCATGATGCGACATAAAACAACAAATTTAAATATCAGTGTTAAAGCCAGTGACCAACAATTTATTTTTAAATTCAACGAAGAAAACCGTTTAATCTCACAAAATACTGTATTAAAAAAAGCCAACAGCAGTGTGGAAATTAGTATTCATGGACAAGGATGTATTTTAACTCAAGCAGTACATTCTTATTTCGTAAAACACATCACCAGTAGTGAATCATTCAAGCTGGACGTTGAAATTTTACCACTGTCGAAAATCGACAGATGTTCTATTGCCACGATTTCGACTTGTTTTTCTTACAATGGAACTGATCATCAGTCAAATATGGCCGTTTTGGAAATCGATTTACCAACAGGTTATGAAGCAGACAGAACTTCTCTTTACAAGTTAGTGGAAAAAGATAAAACAACAGGTAAGTTTTCATAACGCATTTTTTTTTTTTTTTAATAATATGATATCTGAACTGTAAACTAAATATTAATCGAAAACATTCCAGGAATAAAAATGTTTGAAGAAATTCAACAAAAGATAGTTTTTTATGTGACTAAACTGACTTCTAATGTTGTTTGTGCCAATTTCGATATTAATGAAATTGTCACTGTACATTCAAGAGCGAAATCTGCTGCAAAACTTTATGATTATTATAAACCCGAGTTTCGCGTTTTACAGTTCTACGATATGGATAATAGATGCACATTTAAAAACTATACGATTCCACTACTGGACTACCGTTCTGTTTTAGAAAACGACACCAACAGAGAGAATCCAAAAAGGGGGATATGAAATAATTTTTCATAAAATTAATTCTAGTATTAAATGATAAGTGAATACATATGTATTTAAATTTCACTTTTTTTTAAATATATAACAAGTTTGAAAATAATTACATGACTTTTTTTACCCGACCAAAATATATAAATTGTTGAGTTTAACCCACGCCGATTTTAAATCGCCCGTTCAACGTAACAATAGTGAGCTTGTAGAAACGACTCTGTTAGAAGCTACTAAACTTACTGACTACTTACCTCTAATATTTTATAAGGACATTAGGTAAGACGTGTTGATATAATAATTTCAATTAATAAAGTACATAGGTGTTGCGAATTCAATAATAATAATAATACTGGTATAGAAATAAATTCTCTAATATGGTTCAGAGTCTTGCAATTCTGGGTTTGTAATTTTATCTTCATGTCGAATATTTCCTAGTTTTTCATCAATGTTTTTTAACATTTGATCCAAAATCAGACTTTTCCAGAAATTATCTGTCAAAGTCATATCTGCAGTGCGTAAATGTTGAGTTTCGCTATAACAATTCTAAAAAAATAACCTTTAATAATAAACAATTAACCAGTAAAGGTTTACTTTCAGTTCAAAGTCAATTTCAGTCAATCTTTTTTTATCATTCTCATTGAAAATAAAAGCATTGTGTTCCGCAAGGTTTGGACTATCGTCAGCATTAGTTTTCTCCGCTTTCTCTTCATTCATTTGTAATGTATCTTTTCCGGATTGGCAAGTATCTAAAAAAAAATTATTACTGAAAATATGTTGTCGTTTGCATTTATTTACAGTTACCAATATCTGTCAAAATTTGTTCTAAGCGTTGTTTTTCTTCATCTGTTAACGGATGTTTTGACATGGCCGAAGCAGCTAACTGTTTGATCAATAAAATGACGTGAAACTATTAAGTCTGTTTATACACACCTCAATATTTCTAATGACGAAATTTTTTGTGGTTAAAGGGACAGATTTTTGGCGACAAAGTTTTTCTTTTTTTTCACAAACTGGAGCGCTGTAGTGTTTCTTGACATTGTCTTGTAAATCGTTTATGTGTATTCATATTTAACTAATTTAAATAAATAAAATTACCTTCACATTCTTTTAAATTTTCTTCAGCACAAAGTTTTAAAAATAGTTCTCCATCTTTATTGCAAGCTTCATCGGAGTGTAATTTTTGGCACATGTCTTCTTGCACTTTTATTCTTTGATTTTTTTCAAACTGAAAATAAATGAGATATTCGATAAATATTCTTAGAGAATATAGAATATATATATATTTTAAAAAGAATTCAACAAACGACCTTTAGAAATGTTACCTTGAGTAGATTACTATTCTTCATAATTTGTTTCTCAAGCTGGTCAACAGCAGCCATTTTTTCTAACACTTCATTATTTTTGCTGTGTGTTCTTGAACTTCTAGGTCTTACAATTGGAGGAAGCTCTATCAAAGCACTGCCAAATCCATTTTTCTCTAGAATGTTCTCACATAATGTAGTGTCTTCATTTCTGGACAAAATACCTGTAAATCACGAAAATATGCATCAGAAAATATGCTCCTAAAGAAAACTTTTGAAAACCCGAAAAAATGTAACACTGAAACATCAAAAAATAAGATAATTAAAAATCAAGAAATTGTAAAATCGTCAAAAAGAAACAATTCTGCAATTTTTCTATATAAAATTTTTCAAATTCTCAATTTTTAATTCTTAATTTTCCCGATTTTTCGTTTTTTACTTGTTCAACGAAAGGACAAATTTATTCAAACCGAAATTTTGAATTGAATTAAAAAATCAAAAAATTGAGAAATCGAAGAATTGAAAAAAATAAAGAAAACTTGAAAAAAACAAAAACATGAGATTTAAAAACTGAAAAAATGAAACTTGAAATATCGAAAAATTGACAAATTGAAAAATCGAAAAATGAAAAAACTGAGAAATTGAACAATGGAATAATTGAAAAAACAATTGAAAAATCAAAAAATTGCAAAACCCTGATTAATTAAAAATCGAGAAAGTGAAAAATTGAAAAAACGAAAAACAAAAACTTATATTTATAAATTAAATAATCAAAAATACAAAAAAAAATTAATTTAAAAATTCAAACATTTTAAAATGAAAACCGGAAAATTAAAAAATTAAGACATTGTAAAAACGAAACATGGAAAAATAAAAAAATTGTAACATCGAAAAACCGAAAAATTTAAAAGTTGAGAAATCGAAGAATTGAAAAAAAACAGAAACTAAAAAATCGGATAATGGGAAAGACAAAAATTGAATAATAAAAATCCTAATAATTATTTGAAAAAAGTAAAAAATTTAAAAACGGCAAATTTAAAAATGGAACAATTACAAAATTGTAAATTTGAAAAAAAAATAAAAATGGAAAAATTGAAGAAACGAAAAATTGAAAATCAAAAATTGAAAAGCCAAACTTGAAATATAAAAAAATTGGCAAACTGAAAACTGGGTAACGAAAAAGATAGAAACTGTAAAATCGAAAATTTGTAACATTGAAACCCGAAAAAGTGACAAATTAAAAATCAAGGAATTGAAAAATCGAAAAAACGAAAAATTGTAAAATTCAACAGATAGAAAATCGAAAAATTCAAAAGCAAATTAGAAAATCGAAAAATTAAAATGTCTACAAATTAAAAAATCGGAAAATACAAAAATTTTACTGAAAAGTGCAACAATTTCATAATGAAAATCGAGAATTCGAAAAATGTAAAAACGAAACACGGAAAAATTGAAAAATTAACAATTAAAAAAACCCAAAATTTAAAAATCTCCAATTGAGAAAATAAAAAACCGAAGAAACGGAACAACTTGGAATTACATAGTTGGAAGTACTTTATTTTTAAAAATCGAACAATTGAAAATCAAAAATAGAAAAAACGAAACTTGAAACACCGAGAAATTTAAAAATTGTAATCTTAAAACTAGAGAAACTGAAAACTTCGATAATTAAAAAAAACTGTAAAATCGAAAAACTGATTAATTAAAAATCGAGAAATAGAAAAATACGGAAAACAAAATTTTCTAGAAATAGAAAAATCGACAAATTGTAAAATTCAAAAGTTGAAGAACATCTAAAAAGTGTAAAATAAAAAAATCGAAAACTGAAAAATTGAAGAAACGAAACATTGAACAACAAAAAAAATATGAAATACCGAAATGTTGAAAAAATAGCGAAATTAAAAAATCGGATAACGAAAAAATCAACAATTGAAAAATCAAAAAATAAAAATATCTTAAAATGGAAAAATCGAAAAAACTGTCAAATCTAAAAATTATAACAATGAAACCTGAAAAAACTGACGAAATAAAAATCGAGAAACTGAAAAATCGCCAACATTAAAAAATGCAAGAACTCCAAAATAAAAAACTGAGAATCTGATAAGAAAATAATTTTCCTTCTCTAACTTTTACATAAACATTAAGTAGATATTACATACTAAATATGTAATGTTGATCATGAAAATGAATTTAATATAGCATGAAGTAAACGTACCTTTACAAAAATATGGTAACTCAAATTTTTCATATTTTACCTTCCAGTTTAGGAATGCACTTACTGCATTTTCCGCGGACGAATTCTTATCTGCTGAAAGCAAACCTGTATGTATATAACCAGAATTCCAGCTTTTCTCCATTTTTTTTTTTTTTTCTAATTTGTCTGTTTCATCAATCTGTAACAATTATAGGTTTAAGGGTTATATTCTTAAATACCTATTTTTCGGTGAAATCGTTACTAAAATGGCACTTTCCTATTCGATTTTATCGTTAGAGGTAGTTGCAACCTCTAGAGAATTATAACATACACCTCCTCATTACGATGTAAAATATGACTTTTATCCTGACGTCAAACCAAGGCGTCTTTTTTATTTTCGTATGTATTTTATACATACACACAGAGGTGTCAGGTGATTCAAAAATGGCGCACTAACTCACCGGTAAAATACTAATAAGTTCGAGAAAAGTTCTCATAAAAACAAAACGTAGATGTCTTAATTTTTCAATATTTCAATTTTGGGCTTTTTCAGTTTTTCCATTTTCAAATTTTCGATTACTCGATTTTTTTATTTTTTGATTTCTCAATTTTCACTTTTTTCAATACGATTTCTCAATTTTTATCCTCTTGAATTTTAGGATTTTAAAATATTTTTCAATTTTTCAAATTTTGACGTTTCTAAATTTTCAGTTTTTCGATTTCTGAACTATTTTTTTTATTTTTTCATTTCTTGATTTCCCGAAGTTTCGATTTTTTTCAATTCTTCAATTTTTCGATTTTTCAGGTTTTTTGATTTTTCAATTTTTTGATTTTTTAAGCTTACGATTTTTCGCCTTTGCTTTTCTAGTTTTTCGATTTCTCGCTTCCACTTTTTTAATTTCTCAATTTTTTTGATATTTCTTTCAGTTTTGGGATTTATCAATATTTCGATTTTTCGACTTTTCGATTTTTGAACTCCTATATTTTTTTATTTCTCGGTTTTTTTTCTTTTTGAATTTTCAATTGTTCGTTCATTTTTAGATTTTTCAATTTTTCGATTTTCCAATTTTTCGATGTTTCGATTTTTCAGTTATCCGATTTTTCGATTTTTCAATTTTTTAATTCTGGAGTGTCGATTTCTTGATTTGTTGAATTTTCAGTTTTTCGATTTTTAAATTTTAGATTTTCGAATTTTGATTTTTTGATTTTTGGATTTCTCGATTTTTTCAGTTCTTCAGTATTTCTATTTTTCTATTTTTCAGATTTTGACGTTGCTAAATTTTCAGTTTTCCGATGTCTCAATTAATCTATTTTTGATTTTCCCATTTCTAGACTTCTCAAAATTTCGATTTTTCAGTTCTTCAATTCTTCGACTTTGCTTTTTTGGTTTTTCGATTTTTCAATTTTCCAATTTTTTTAATTTCTCAATTTTTGGATATTTCTTTCAGTTTTGGGATTTTCGAGTAATTTGATTCTTCGACTTTTTCGATATTTCTACTTCTGGATTTTTCGGTTTTTTATTTTTTGGATTTTCTATTTTTCGACTATTTTATATTTCGATTTCTCAATTTCTTAATTTTTCGATATTTTAATTTTTCAGTTTTTAAAATTCTAGATTTTTCAATTTTTCAAGTTTTCAGTTCTTCTATACATACTTAGTTTAATTTTTCAAATTTCCGGATTTTTAAATTTTCAATTTTTTAATTTCTTGAGACCACGATTTATCGAGATTCGGATGTTTCCATGTTTTGATTGTTCAATCTCTCGAATTATCAATTTTTCCATTTTTGAATTATCCGATTTTAGAATTTTCCAATTTTTTAAATTTTCGAGTTTCGATTTCTCGATTTGTTGATTTTTCAGTTTTTCGATTTTTAAATTGTAGACTTTCGAATTTTTAATTTTTAGATTTTTCGATTTTTCAATATTTTTTCATTTTTCATGTTTTGGCGTTTCTGAATTTTCAGGTTTCCGATTTCTCAATTAAACTATTTTTCGATTTTTCAGATTTTTGACATTTCTGAATTTTCAGTTTTCCGATTTTCCCATTTCTCGACTTCCCAAAGTTTCGATTTTTCAATTCTCCAGTTCAATTTTTCCATTTTTCAAATTTTAGATTTCTCGACTTTTTTTATTTTTCGATTTCTCAATTTTCATTTGTTTCAATGATACGATTTCTCAATTTTTATGGTGTTCAATTTTAGGATTTTTACATATTTTTCAATTTTTCAAATTTTGATGTTTCTAAATTTTCAGTTTTCCGATTTCTGAACTAAACTATTTTTTTATTTTCCCATTTCTCGACTTCCCAAAGTTTCGATTTTTTTTCAATTTTTCAATTTTTCGATTTTTCAGGTTTTTTTGATTTTTTAAGCTTATGATTTTTTGCCTTTGCTTTTATAGTTTTTCGTTTTCTCGCTTCCAATTTTTAAATTTTTAAATTTTTTGGATATTTCTTTCAGTTTTGGAATTTATCAATATTTAGATTTTTCGATTTTTGGATTCCTGTATTTTTTTATTTCTCGATTTTTTTACTTTTTGGATTTTCAAATTTTCGTTAATCTTTAGATTTTTCAATGTTTCCACTGTTTTATTCTTCGATTTCTCAATTTTTCAACATTTCAATTTTTAAAATTCTAGGTTTTTTGATTTGTCGAGTTTTCAGTTCTTCTATTTTTCAATTTTTCAATTTTCCCAATTTAAAAATTTTTGATTTTCGATTTTTTTACTTCTGGGTTTTTCAATTTTTCGATTTCCCAATTTTTCGATGTTTCGATTTTTCAGTTTTCCGATTTTTCTATTTTTCAATTTTTTAATTCTGGAGTGTCGATTTCTTGATTTGCCGATTTTTCAGTTTTTCGATGTTTAAATTTTAAATTTTCGAATTTTGTGATATTTTAATTGTTTAATCTTATAAATTTTAGGTTTTTTTCAATTCTTCAGTACTTCTATTTTTCAATTTTTCAGATGTCTCAATTAATCTATTTTTGATTTTCCCATTTCTAGACTTCTCAGTTTCGATTTTTCAGTTCTTCAATCCTTCGATTTTTCAACTTTGCTTTTTTGGTTTTTCGATTTCACAATTTTTCGATATTTTAATTTTTCAGTTTTTAAAATTCTAGATTTTTCAATTTTTCAAGTTTTCAGTTCTTCTATACATATTAGTTTAATTTTTCAAATTTCCGAATTTTTAAATTTTCAATGTTTTAATTTCTTGAGACCTCGATTTATCGATATTCGGATGTTTCCATGTTTTGATTGTTCAATATCTCGAATTATCAATTTTTCCATTTTTGAATTATCCGATTTTTCAATTTTTTAATTTTTTAAATTTTTGAGATCGATTTCTCAATTTGTTGATTTTTCAGTTTTCCGATTTTTAAATTGTAGACTTTCGAATTTTGAATTTTTAGATTTTTCGAATTTTCAATTCTTCAATATTTTTTCATTTTTCATGTTTTGACGTTTCTGAATTTTCAGCTTTCCGATTTCTCAATTAATATATTTTTCGATTTTCCGGTTTCTCGACCCAAAGTTTCAATTTTTCAGTTCTCCAGTTCAATTTTTCGATTTTTCAGATTTTTGACGTTTCTGAATTTTCAGTTTTCCGATTTTCCCATTTCTCGACTTCCCACAGTTTCGATTTTTCAGTTCTCCAGTTCAATTTTTCGATTTTTCAGGTTTTTGAATTTTCAATTTATCAATTTTGCTTCTTTGACTTTTCGATTTCCTAATTTTTCGATTTTTTAATTTCCCAATTTTTGGATATTTCGTTCAATTTTGTGATTTTTCAGTTTTTCGATTCTTCATTTTTCTTCTGTTCGATATTTCAGTTTTGGGAACTTTTAGTATTTCAACTTTTCGGTTTTTCGAGTTTTCATTGTTCAATTTCTCGATTTCGGTTTGTCAATTTTTCGATTTTTCGACTACTCGATTTTTCGATGTTTTGATTTTCCGATTTCTCGATGTCTCCGTTTTTCAATTTTACGATGTATCGATTTTTTGATTTTTTACTTTTCGGTTTCTCGACTTTTCGTTTTTTCGATTTTTGAATTATCCGATTTTTCAGTTTTCCAATTTTTTTAATTTTCGAGTTTCGATTTCTGGATTCGTGAATTTTCAGTTTTTTGGTTTTTAAATTTTAGATTTTCGAATTTTTATTTTTTTGATTTTTTGATGTTTGGATTTCTCCATTTTTCAATTTTACGATATTTTAATTTTTCAATGTTTTAAATTTTAGATTTTTCAATTTTTCAGTTCTTCAATATTTTTTAATTTTTCAAATTTTGACATAAGGTATCTGAATTTTCAGTTTTCGGATTTCTCAATTAAACTATTTTTTTATTTTCCCATTTCTCCACTTCCCAAAGTTTCCATCTTTTAGTTCTTCGGTTCAATTTTTCGATTTTTCAGATTTTTGATTTTTTAAGTTTGCGATTTTTTGACTTTTCGGTTTCTCAATTTTTTGACTTCCCAATTTTTGGATATTTCGTTCAATTTTGTGATTTTTTAGTTTTTCGATTCTTCAATTTTTCGATATTCGAGTTTTGGGATCTTTTTGTATTTCGACTTTTCGAGTTCTAGATTTTTCGATTTCTCGACTTTTTCTTTTTGGATTTTCAATTTTCCGTTTTTTAAACTTTAGATTTTTTAATTTTTTAACTGTTTTATGCTTCGATTTCTCAGTTTTTGATATTTTAACTTTACAATTTTTAAAATTTTAGGTTTTTCGATTTTTCGAGTTTTCAGTTCTTCTATATTTCAATTTTTCAATTTTCGGAATATTTACATTTTCGATTTTCCAATTTTTCGATGTTTCGATGTTTCGATGTTTGGATTTCTCGATTTTTCAATTTTGTGATATTTTAATTGTTCAATCTTATAAATTTTAGATTTTTTTTCAGTTCTTCAGTATTTCTATTTTTCAAATTTTCAGATTTTGACGTTGCTAAATTTCCAGTTTTTCGATGTTTCAATTAATCTATTTTTGATTTTCCCATTTCTAGACTTTCTCAAAGTTTCGATTTTTCAGTTCTTCATTTCTTCGATTTTTCGACTTTGCTTTTTGGGTTTTTCGAGTTCTCAATTTTCCAATTTTTTAATTTCTCAATTTTTGTATTTCTTTCAGTTTTGGGATTTTCGAGTAATTTGATTCGACTTCTTCGATTTTTCTACTTCTGAATTTTTAGATTTTTTATTTTTTGGATTTTCATTTTTTCGTATATTAAAGTTTAGATTTTTCAATTCTTCGACTATTTTATATTTCGATTTCTCAATTTCTCAACTTTTCGATATTTTAATTTTTCAGTTTTTAAATTTCTAAATTTTTCAATTTTTCGAGGTTTCAGTTCTTCTATGACATATTTTATTTTTCGAATTTCCTAATTTTTAAATTTCCATTTTTTCATTTTCTTGAGACCTCGATTTATCGAGATTCGGATGTTTCCATGTTTTGATTGTTCAAACTCTCGAATTATCAATTTTCCATTCTTGAATTATCTGATTTTTCAATTTTCCAATTTTTTAAATTTTCGAGTTTCAATTTGTCGATTTGTTGATTTTTCAGTTTTTCGATTTTTAAATTGTAGTCTTTAGAATTTTTAATTTTTAGATTTTTCGATTTTTCAATTCTTCAATATTTTTTTATTTTTAATGTTTTGACGTTTCTGAATTTTCAGGTTTCCGATTTCTCACTTTTTAGTTTTCGATTCTTCAATCTTTCTTCAATTTTTCGATATTCGAGTTTTGGGATCTTTTTGTATTTCGACTTTTCGAGTTCTAGATTTTTCGATTTCTCGACTTTTTCTTTTTGGATTTTCAATTTTCCGTTTTTTAAACTTTAGATTTTTTAATTTTTTAACTGTTTTATGCTTCGATTTCTCAGTTTTTCAACTTTTTGATATTTTAACTTTACAATTTTTAAAATTTTAGGTTTTTCAATTTCTCGAGTTTTCAGTTCTTCTATATTTCAATTTTTCAATTTTCGGAATATTTATATTTTCGATTTTCCAATTTTTTGATGTTTCGATTTTTCAATTAACCGATTGTTCAATTTCTCGATTTTTAAATTTTAGATATTCCAATTTTTATTTTTTTGATTTTTTCATGTTTGGATTTCTCGATTTCTCAGTTCTTCAATATTTCTATTTTTCAATTTTTCGATTTTTTAATTTTGCCATCTTGGTTTTTTGATTTTTAAAATTTTTCGACTTTTCGATTTTTAGATTTCCCGATTTTTTAGTTTACGATTTCTCAATTTTTGCAACATTATTAGTTCTGGGAACTTTTCAATTTCCAGTTTTTTAATTTTTGGATTTTTAAATTAAGTGTACACAACTATATAAGAAAATATAGCCGATTTTATATTTATATACATAACTATACAATCTATAAGTCCTACAATTAATTAATATGCACGATATTGGAAGGCATGTGATCTTTAATAATAAATCGTTTTTCTTCTGCCTCGAGAATACTTTTCGGAAATCCAAACCAATATATGACCAGTCCAGGACCAAACCTAAAATAAAGAATACTTAAACGTTAATCAAGCAAAAAAATTTCATACTCTTATGAAATTACCTGTTCCAATAACTTAAATACTGATTTCGCGTATATTCCCGATGAACTTCCTGGTCACCAAATAAAGCTTTACTTTCTATCCAATTTATCACGAATCCGTCAATCGCCACCGGTACATCTAACTTTACATCAGGAGTCTTGTCATAACCATATCTCCTTAAATGTTCTTCGTCACGAAACGCCAAATTTAAGTCAACTACCAGTTTATGTAACTTAATTTCATATTCTTGTCCTAGGGAGCTAACAATACTGTCAGTGATAATACAACTATTTGATATAACTCACTGTTTCATTGTTTCTGAGAGTGGACTGTATAAGTTGTCATATATTGTACACTAAAAAATAAAAACACTAAGGAGTTATTCCATAAAGATAAAAAGTGATGATTCTTACAAGAAAAACTTCATGTGACAAATTTACGTCAGGAATTAAGCTTGTGTCTCTTAAATAATTATTGATTTGTGACTGTTCTCCAAAATTGAATTCGTCAATATATTTTTGCAAAATTAATTTTGCAATTAAACACGGGCACACTTCAAATTGTTCTGCTATCCTCAATATAATTCCAGGTTTTCCTGACTTTTTTATTGCTTGTTGATATATATCCCAATACTTGTTTATATTTGGGAGGTTCTTTATATGATTTATTTTCATTCGTTTCTGGTATTCCAGAGACAATATGCTATAAAGTGTGTCTGTATTAATCCTAAAAGTTAAGTATGTACATTTTAATGCAAATAGGCGTGATGGCGTTTACTTACCCTGGAAATTGTTGTATTAAAAGTGACATACAATCTTGAGAAAGGCCCCTATGTTTTCGAATTACAGTGACAATATTTTTGTACATACTCGTCTCCATATTTGCAATTCCAATCAGTTTTCTGTATACAAATATACAGTTGTCGATATTGTTGATAATTGTAACAATATTCCTACACAATAAACGGTAAAATACCTTACACATACACTGTTGTGGTTAACGTGCTTACTCAAACCTAGTGTGGTTAAAGAAGAATTCAAGTTCAATTCAAGCGTTACCTTAGATTCTTTGCATGCCAAAGATTATAATCATTACGTTCTCTCTTGCTCTAAAGTTTTTATTTTCAAAAAAAATAAAACTACTGTTCGTTTACATTTAGGTTAGTAAATTTTAAATAGTTGTGACAGTTGTGCCCAATCCCAAAGATGTTGAATTAGTATAGATTGCTATTCGCGAATTTCATTGTCACTAGATGGCGCACCAGAAACGTCAAAAGCAAAGACTTCAAATATATATTTGAGGTCTTTGGTCAAAAGAAAGCGAAAAATTAGAACCATTCAATTTTATCAGACAATATTTTAAAAGTTTTCAATCTCTGAATTGTTCTTTGGTTTTCGTAAAAATGAGAAGGCATGTGTCAGAATTTTGTTATTTCAACACCTTTATCTTCAATTTTTTTCCCATTAGTTCTATGTCCTCAAACATTGTATTCAGTAACAATGTCGGCGTAGCGTAGTTTGGCACCCAGGACGTTTTTCTACTTAGCACCCCCGCCCCCATATAATAAAACAACAAATACTAAACGTGCTTACGGACTTTTACTTTGGCAACTTTTGCCATATTTAAAGGGGTTGTAGAAGAGAAGTGGAGGATTTAAGTTGATTACTACAAAAATTTACCATTTTAGACATGTTTTAAGTTTCTTGTTGTCGAAATAAGTCTACACATGTTAAGAAAAAAAGGCAAAATGTAGCCCCGTCCACCCACCCTATCTCAATTGCACGATCCATATTTGTCTACAAAAATTTACCATTTTCAACATGTTTTAAGTTTACTTTTTGTTTTAATATATGTAAACTTCTTCTCACAACAAGAAACTTAAAACATGTTTAAAATATAACATTTGTATAAGGAAATATCGATTTTACAATTGAGCTCCGTCCCATAATTGCAAAATTCATATTTACTTGCAAAAATATACCATTTTATCCATGTTCTAAGTTTCTTGTTGTGAAAAGATGGCTATGTATATTAAGAAAAAAAAAATTGGTCTAAAGAGTTTAGACAGTACTTCCCTCGCTGTCGGAAACTTGACGACTGCATGCCTATTGTGTTTTTTTTCTCATTACATTTTTGTAGTGGGAATTTAAAAAAAAATTGTGATGACGTCATCAACATTTTTGCAAGGACACGTATATCAGTTGGGATAGATGTAGTGTAATACTAAGAATAAAATTATTATATTCTCAAATTTTCGGAAAAATGAATTGGGTCGTTTTGAATATTGATTTGTAATAATCAATAAAATAACGAAACAATTTACTCACGTATACGTATCAGAGGCAACTGAAAATCGTGTATGTATAAATATTCTTAATTTAAGATGTCAGGCGTAACAGCATACGTGAGAGTCAAACAGAGAAACTGTAAACAAAATGACCATCGGTTTTATTGCTTCGACTTCTGCTTATTATATAAAACATTGGGTTTTATTTTAATTCTTGACGGTGAAATTCACAATTGGTTGATTATAAACATGTCTATTTCACATTCGCGGAACCAAGTGAGCGCATAAAACAAATGCAGGTCTGTAATGTTAAAGTCGATGTAAATAAGCGTGCTACCCTTATGTTTCAACCGAGTTTTTCCTTTAACAAATTTTGTGTCTACCAAATTGGGTTGGTTGGGGTGTAATACTAATAATAAGTGTTGCCTTTAATTTAATCAATAAAATAAATTGACTTCATTAATTTTTTTGAACCACCTCTTAAGAAAATCTAAAAAATATGAATGGAATGATAAATCACAAGTACAAACTCATCATATTTTTTGCATTTTAGATAGGATTTATTCAGCAAAATTTAAGGGTGACGTCATCAATTTTTTTAGGAGGGATGAACAAATACATTTTGAACAAAAGTTTACCATGCTTATAATAACTTTAAAATATTCCCAAGATTTCAAAGCATTCGGTTTTCTAATTCCTGATTAAATCGATAAAATAAATTCACGCCTTCATTAATTTTTTTGAGTCACCCTGCATATGCAAATCCAAAAATATGAATGGAATGATAAATCACAAGTACAGACTCATCATATTTTGTACATTTTAGATACGATTTATTCGGCAAACTTTTGAGCTGACGTCATCAGTTTTTTGTAGAAGATAACCAAATATATTTTGACTAAAAATTTATTATGCTCTTTATAACCTTAAAACATCTGCAAGATTTCAAAGCATTCGGTTTTGTAGTTCCTGATTAAATCAATAAAATAAATTTACGCATTCATTAATTTTTTTGAGTCACCCTGTATATGCAAATCGAAAAAATTTGAATGGAATGATAAATCACAAGAAGAGACTCACCATATTTTGTACATTTTAGATAGGATTTTTTCAGCAAAATTTTGTGGTGACATCATAAATTTTTTAGGGGGGACGACCAAATACGTTTTGATCAAAAATTTACCATGCTTATGATAATTTTAAAATATCTTCAAGATTTCGAAGCATTCGGTTTTGTAGTTCCTGAGTAAATCAGTAAAATAAATTTACGCTTTCATTTATTTTCTTGAATCACCCTGTATATGCAAATCCAAAAAATATGAATGGAGCGATATATCACAAGTACAGACTGATCATATTTTGTACATTTTAGATATGATTTATTCGGCAAATTTTCGAGCTGACGTCATCAAGTTTTTGGAGGGGATAAGCAAATATATTTTGACTAAACATTTATTATGCTCTTTATAACCTTAAAACATCTGCAAGATGTCAGAGCAGACAACAGACGGACAGACGGACGGACAGACGGACAGACGGACAGACAGACGGACAGACGGAAATGGGAGACCTATTTCTTCGTCTTCTAGGGGTCATGAAAGATCGAGAAAACGTAAAAGTAGAGAGTCGGCCGACGGACTCGATTACAATACTTCCTTTGCTTACGCTCGGGAAGTAAAAAAGGCAAAATATAAGCCCTGCCCGCCCGCCCTATATCGATTCTGATGATTTTTTTATTCGTCGTAAGCCGAGGGGCGGAGCTTAATTGTAAAATCCTTATTTTTCTACGATAAATTACCATGCGAAATATATTCTTAAATAATTGTGTTATACAAAGAAAACTAAGGGCCGGTTTATAGAAACGCGAATTAATTATTTAATCCTCGATTAATTTAACACTGGATTAAAATGTGGAATGGGAGCTCGTGATTGGTTAAAACATGCACGTCGCCTAGCAACGGACCTCAATTAAAAGTTAATCGCAAATTAACTTTAATTTCGGTTTGTATAAACCAGGTATTAATTAAAAAAGAAAACCAAAAGAGAAGCCCCACCCATCCGTCTCAATTCTCAATTATGATGAATTTTTCATTCGTTGTCAGATCGAGGGGCGAGGCTTAAATGCAAGATCCATATTTGTCTACAAGAATTTACCATTTTAAACATGCTTTAAGTTTCTTGTTCTGAAAAGACGACTACGTATATTAAGAAAACATGCAAAATATAAGCCCCGCCCACCCGCCCTATCTCAATTGTGATGATTTTTTTATAATCGTCGAGAGCCAAAGGAGCGGAATTTAATTGTAAAATCCTTATTATTTCTCTACAAAAAATTACCATGTGAGTATCGTGTTATTCAAAGAATACTATGTATATTAAGAAAAAATTTAAAGCCAAAGATTAAACCTGTCCTGATCTAAATAGTAATGAAGTTTTCATTCGTTGGTAAACCTAGAGGCGAAGCCTAATTGCAAAATCCATATTTTCTTTCAAAAATTTACCATTTTAAACGTGTTTTAAGTTTCTAAGAATTAAAAAAAATCATCACAATTGAGATGGGGTGGGTGGGCGGGTTTTGTGTTTGAATTTTTGTTTTAATATAGTATGTAGACTTCTTTTCACAACATTAAACTTAAAACATGTTTAAAATAGAATATTTGTATAAGGAAATATCGATTTTGCAATTAGGCTCCGCCCCATAATTGCAAAATCCATATTTCCTTGCAAAAATATACCATTTTAACAATGTTTTAAGTTTCTTGTTGTGAAAAGATGGCTATGTATATTAAGAAAAAAGACAAAACATAAGTGCTGCCCACCCGCCCTATCTCAATTCTGATGACTTCTTTTTATTCGTCGTACGCCGAGGGAGGAGCTTAACTGTAAAATCCTTGTTTTTTTTTACAAGAAATTACCGTCTGAAATATGTTCTTAAGTAATCGTGTTATACAGAGAAAACTAAATGTATTAATTAAAAAAAGAAAACCAAAAAAGAAGCCCCGCCCATCCGTCTCAATTCTCAATTATGATGAATTTTTCATTCGTTGTCAGGCCGAGGGGCGGGGTTTAATTGCAAGATCCATATTTGTCTACAAGAATTTACCATTTTAAATATTCTGAAAAGACGACTATGTATATAAAAAAAAAGACAAACAAGGTATAAACCCCGCCCACCCGCCCGATCTTAATTGTGATGATTTTTTTTATTCGTCGTGAGCCAAAGGGGCGGAGCTTTACTGCAAAATCCTTATTTCTATACAAAAAATTAAAAACATGTTTTTGAGTATCGTGTTATTCAAAGAATACTATGTATAATAAGAAAAAATTAAAGCCAAAGATTAAGCCCCACCCATACTTGTCCTGGTCGAAATAGTAATGAAGTTTTCATTGGTTGGTTGACCTAGGGGCGGAGCGCGGAGACTAAGTGCAAAATCCATATTTCCTTACAAAAATTTACCATTTTAAACGTGTTTTAAGTTTCTAAGAATAAAAAAATAATCACAATTGAGATGGGGTGGGTAGGCGGGGGTTATATTTTGCCTTTTTTTCTTAATCTACGTAGTATTCTTTGAAGAACACGATACTCAAAAACATGTTTTTAATTTCTTATAAAGAAATAAGTATTTCGCAGTTAAGCCCCGCCCCCCCTTGGTTCACGGCGAATAAAAAAATCATCACAATTGAGATAGGGCGGGTGGGCGGGCTTACATTTTGCCTTTTTGTTTTAATATGTGTAGACTTCTTTTTATAACATGAAACTTAAAACATGTTTAAAATGGAAAATTTGTATAAGGAAATATCGATTTTGCAATTAGGCTCCGCCCAATAATTGCAAAATCCATATTTCCTTGCATAAACCACTTTAGCCATGTTTTAAGGTTTTTGTTA